TAAAATATATATTAAATCATTTACATTTACATTACCTTTGCATATTATTAAATAAATAATTTTGTTAAACTTATGTATTAATTAAGTTAAATGTTATAAATAAAATATGTTTATAAATGTATTTATAAAAGTATTTTAGCAATAATTAATATTTAATATAGAAATAAATTGACAAAGAATATTGAAAAACATTAATAATTAATAGCTATTTATTTTATTAAATGTTATTTTTATTATTAATGCAATATATTAATTATTATTTTCATTATTGTAAAATTGTAATAAATTCTGACAAGCAATTTATATTTAATTGTGGGGTTTGATAAATTAATAATTCATTTAAACTTATGTACTATTAAAGGCAGGTGATATTATTTGAATAAAATATTTTCATTAATTGTTTGGTAAATATCTATAATAATAATAAATTGTATAAGTATTTAAATAAAATATTATTATTATAGCATGCAACATTATTTATATAATAGCAATGTGTATAATAGTAATAGAGATACAAATGGCGATGGGTTTCCCATTATAATCAAATACCCAACCAATCCGACCGTAATTTATGTGACACATTATGAGTTACATTTTGAAGAGTATCTATGCCTTATGGCCAGTATATTTAGCCTATGGTTTGGTTTCGACGCGATTATGTTCACTAATATATGCCGTAGGGTTGTTTTAAAATTGTACACCACTTTTATCAAGATTATTCATAAGATTAAGCATAATCACAATTGTTTTGTCAATATTGGTAGAAGTGCCCGTGTTAATGTTGTAATAAACAATGAAAACATGCTTTTTAGCCATAAAATATAATGGGATTAAATAATTTAATATTAGCAATATGCTTTAATAGCGTTCATCTATTATAAAACAAGATTGATTAATTATCCTGAATATATAGAGTTCTGAATTTAGTCAGTTTTTACTGTATATATTGAACAATATATTTGTTATTTCACTAATTTATGTGCATTTTGTGATAATGTGAGTTAATTAGATTGTTATTGTTTTTGCAGTTAATTATAATATGGAAAATAACTTACATACTGTACTCATTTTAATATTTTCAATTTCAATATAATAATAATTCAAATTAATTAGCAATTTCAATTTTATTTGAATCAATCAAAATATGGGTCAATAAATTTATTGCTTATAAACATTGCAATAGAATTAAACTTTTAATTAATATACAATAAATTCTAAAATTATTAAATATATTGATAAAATATAGCCAATAAACAATATCAATATAGAATTCCTAAATATATTGCCTAATTTTATATTGCTAAACTTGTCGTCCAATTTTGTAACAGTCAAGTTTGTCATATTAATCATTGGATTAATTAGGCGTTTTAGAATATTCTTTATGATATTATGATGCATGCTTATTCCGGACATTTCAATGTTTTTGTACCTAGTTACATGAATTAGATTTATAATTTTTATATCTAGTAATTAGATTAAATTTTATTAAAAATATACTTGCATATTAATTAATCGTGTTGTAAATTTATTATGTTTTACTACAACATAATAGGAATAATTTTGAAAATATTTATAATCGCTAATCGCAAACATATGGCTGTAATCCATATATTTGGCAACAAATACATCGGTTAATAGTCCGGTCGATAGAATGACCAAATGTCCGCTTAGCATATGGTGAAAAACAGTATTATTTAGTAAACTTGATTGCACCCTTAGCGTTTTATTAAGTTTCTTTTCATATGCAACATGTTTATTAATTAACGATTTCATGAGTGAACTATATTGTGGTTGAAATGTAGTAATTTTCTGCATTGTTCTAACGTTAGCCAAAACATACAACTTATTGTTATTTACAATATCTGTTAATGTGTTAACGATTGGCACCGGTTTTTTGGGTAAATATGTTTCCAACACACCGTTTGAAAATATTATGGTCAATATTAATGCGCTAATTATCCAAATCCAAAATATAAGCATTATCAATTTATTTGTTTTATTTATTATTGTTTTATATAAGTTGCATGATTGTTTAGTTAATGGTCCATAAACAGCCATAAATGCACCTACATAACTTTTCTTAGCCAATATAATTATAAATAATGCTATTACAAATGCAGACATGAATAAGTAAATCCATATCTAAGTAAACAATGTTGATAAAATTAATTGATTATTTTCTACTTAATTATAAAATACAAACCTTGTTGTCAAATATATGGGCAAAACTAAAATATGAATTATCTTTTATGTATTTAAATCCGCTAATAATTTCAATATGGTAATAATTTTCAGATGGAATACCAGTAAATTTTGAATTCATTAATGTAATTGAAGAATACTTAACTAACGATGAAGTAGCCTATAATATTTGGATAAAAATATTGAAATTTTTTATTATAAAATACTTTTAAATAATTGATAAATGTTATGATTATTGATTTATTGTAATATAAAATAGCATTATATAAACATAATAGAAATGTAAGAGGATAACATTAATTAATTTATTTTTTGGTATTATTAGTGGAGCTCAGAGATTTTTTTAGAACACAAGTGTACGTTTCACATACAACGTACACATGAAATGCAATGGCAATACATTATAAGAATGTATACATAGGGGCAAACTGTCCTCCCATTATGAGTGTAAAGCAGCAAAACGCTGAGCGTGCATAATCGGGCACTCGCGGGCATTATAGGGCAACAGACTTTATACTCAATTTATTACTATTCTAAATCATTCAAATATGTCGTTATCAAATAAATTAAGTGGTGGTTGATTTTATGTAATCAATTTACCTATTTAAATTAAAAATTAGTGAGATATTTTAAATAAAATTATTTATTGAAATTCTCAATCACTCTCTCAATAACAATCTATCTGTCAATCAACTCTTATATTTCATTACAAGCTTTTTATTGACAATATGGTGTAAATAATAGTAATGGCATTTGTGATGAATAGTTTTATGCATATAAAAATACAACAAACATAATGTTTAGTTTAAAACTTTTTTTGTAAGAAGCGTTCTCCTGGTGTAAAGCATATCAGTGCGCATATGTGTACAGTGTATGTGAAACGTACACTTGGGTTCTAAAAAAATCTCTGGTGGAGCTAGAATATTATGAATAATTTTTAAATTTTATAAATCTTACTTGATTTAAATAGTTAGTAAATTTTATTACAACACTTAGTTTACATGATATATACTGTATTATAGATAAAATTTTACCAAACGCGCGACCCTGCAAGTTAAGGAATATTTAAGTAAATGTTTGTTTAAGTAAAATTTTACCTTATATATAAGAGTAACATGATCAATAGGTAAACTATAATTATAACTATTACGACAATAATATCTCTGACCAGGTTTAACAAAAATATACGGAATAATTGAATAAATATATTTAATTGTTTCATTTATGTCAATTACCATGTTTGTAAAATCTGCTTGTTTGCAGTGAATTTTATATTTAATTCAAGTTGATCTTTGACATATAAATAAGAACTAATAAATGTACCTCATATACATTGTATTTATATTAATAAACATGATAGTTTTAATAATTTATTAAATAACTATAGATTTAACGTAAATCTAATATACTTACTCAAAAATATCTTATTATTTATCATCTTATATAATATATTATATGGATAGATTTAACAAAAATAACTTATATATTCTCTATAAAATATTAATTATATCGAAATAATTATATGATGATTAAAATTATTAAAATAGACTAATTAAATGCTTGTAATTCTAATATAAATAATACAAGAGATAAAAGTCAGTTATCGCTGTAAGTTCACAAACATATCTATTGTAATATTATATAACAATTCAATTAACTAATAGAATAGCGGGAAGCACTTTTTTACCCGTCACCGTCACGTCGCTACGTCACCGTCACCGTCGATAAATTTTACATGTATGTTTTATATATGGAGTCAATGTAGAAGTCATCGCTGAGTTCGAATCTGGAATCGAAAATATTTTATTTAAAATACATTTCGAGTTATTCGAATTAGAATATTTTTTATCGAAAATTTTAAAATAACGTAATTTATTAATATGATACATGATTTCGATGTAGAATCGGACGCTAATTGCGAATTTTAAATTACCAATTTTCTATATTAAATACTATTAAATAATTAAAAGTCGAATAGTTCAAAAATTATACAGTTTATTTTGAAACCGATTTAAGAATATTAATTGGCGTTAAAATCTACTTCTAACTCATATATCATATTAATAAATTACGTCATTTTAAAATTTTCGATAAAAAATATTCTAATTCGAATAACTCGAAATGTATTTTAAATAAAATGTTTGACGGTGACAAAGCGACGGGTGACGGGTAAAAAAGTGCTTCCCTAGAATAGCTATTAAAATGTTATTTCCAAAGGGCGTATCAGTTGTGTTGCATAATTAAATTATTGATTATTTAATTAAAAACAGAATTCGTGTACCATGTAATTGTTTTGTGAGTAAATAAAGTATTCCTCAACTAAACAAACTTCAACATATTATAGTCTATTTATAAATATTTAAAAATTAATATTTTACACAAGGCTAATAAATTCCCACTTTATAAACATATAGAATACAATTAAAATTATACTATTGTGGGAATAATTAAAACAATTTTATTGACGACATTATGTTTTTTAACCACAATTCATATATAAATAATAATAATTTTTATTTAGCCGTTAAGGCAATGATATACACTATTAGTTTGTATTCATTTTATATAAGATTACATTTATTATTTTATACAATTATATACAATTATTGGTTATATATGAGTTCAGATTAGCTATTAATCTGATCTATTAAACTATTATATTTACATTGCAATTACATTAACCCATATACAAAAATTCAATGTTGGTCTTATTTGTCGAATTTATATTTCAATTTATGTACAACTTATAGAATTTATCATATTCAAACATGTAAAATTAACCAACTTTTAATTAATTACGATACTGTATAAAAATATATAAAAATAATTTTTCCAAAATTTAACTAACTTGTTAGTACTAAAATGACTAAAAAGTAAATAGTTCAAATTTATAAATAATCTATTATTATAACTTTAAAAAATTGCATTTTATTTCAAATAACAAATAAATAATCTTTAAAATGTTAAAATGTTACATTAATTTAATCAAAAATATATTGAAACGAATCCATGAAACCTCCGTCCAGTTTGAGCGACACTCCGGTGGCGAACGACGAGTCACTCGACGCCAGGAATGCCACCGCTTTGGCCACGTCTTTGGGCTCTCCCGCTCTGCCCAACGGATAGCGTCGCGACACGTCTGACCACATCTGGTCGATGTCCTTTTTGGCCATAAACATCTCGTAAACCGGCGTTTTGATCTGTGCCGGACTGTGCAAACCATGGTTAAATGTGGGGTTTTACATTTATATAAAACGTTACGGTCTATCGCATGTTAATTGTAACTTTATGTATACAGTATTACCCCGTTATAAGAATGAGCGTATAATTAGAAATGTATGGTTTTTATAAAGTATATATTTAGATAATAATAATTATTTAATGAATATTAATCAAACTTAATTGATTAACTTAAGCCTTTTAATTGGTTTAGCTTTACAACCAAGATGATCATTATAACTGTGGGTCAAACTGTATATACAGTACATTGTATGTTATTTACTTAATGCCATTTACTCGCACTCCTTTAGGGCCCAATTCGTAGGCTAGACTTCGGGTAAACATATCGATAGCACACTTAGCCATACAGTGTGCCAATGCGTTTGCGAACTAGATTTTATAAAAATAACCTGTTAAAATTTAATGAGGTATACAAAACAATTATAAAATGAAACACAATTGACCGGTTTAATAGCCGATACGCTCGATATGTTGACAATAGATCCTTTTGTTTTAATTATATGCGGAACTAATAAATAATTAAATATATTTATATTTTT